ATTTGTTTACATTTATCACTGGGTGCTTGTACCTGTACATGATGCATCTTGGTTCTTATTTTTTCCCCATTACCTGTGCGCCCTTCACCCCCTCTGCCCTTCCCTATTTGCATAGATTTCATTTCCTTTTTTTTTTTCTTTTCGCATAGTTTTTCCTTTCCCTCTTTTCCTTTCCCCTTCCCCTCCCTTCACTCCTTCGTCTTTGGACCTTTTTTCCTATTTCAAATTATCAATTATTCATTTTAATCATTTTTACTCTTGTTTACACTATCAGTTTCTCACACTAGAGAAACTATTCGGTATTTACACATGGGTGTCCTATTTATTTCACTTAGGAGTATGGCCTCGATATGCATCCATTTAGCTATAAATGACTAGTTTTTCATTTGATGGTAGCCATTCTTACCGGGGTGAGTCGATACCTCATTATGATTCTAATTTGCTTTTCCCTGATGATTAGCAATGTTGAGCATTTCTTCATATACATTTTGGCTATTTGTATATGTTCCTCTAGAATTGTCTCTTCAGATCATTTACATATTTTTAATCAGATTATTATTTTTTCTATTGCTTTGAATTCCTTGTATATTCTGGATGTTAATTCCTTATCAGATTTAGTTTGCAAATATTTTCTCTCATTCCGTACTTTTGTTTCTTCACTCTGTTGTTTCCTTTGCTGTGTAGAAATGTCTTAGTTTGATATAATCACATTTTTCTACTTTTACTTTGTTACTAATGTCTAGAAGTGTTCTGTCTCCTCCAAAAGCCTCCCCACAAAAGGAAGTAAACAAACATTTTAAAACAAGGATTATAGCATATCCATGTGGCAGACTGCTAATAGGCCAAAAAGAAAATACTATGCATAAAATCTACCCAATTTCCAGGCCACAGGGTGGTTGTAAGTTCACTTGTACAAGGGCCTGCAGGCAGCTTCCTCTGTGACTGTGGTGTTTTAGTCCCACCAGTTGTGCTTCCTGTGCTGTCAGGCTGCAGTTGAGACCATCTTGGCATGTGAGAAGTGGCATCTTCATGTAGTTTTAGTTTGCATTCCCTGATGACAACCATTAGGGTTTATTTCTAGATGTCCTCCTAAAGCCTTGTGTGCTCATAAGCAGGGCTTTTGAAGGATGATTGGTTTATGGGATGCTACAGCTGAATGTGATGTTAGAAAATGGGGCCTGGTCAGAAGGGGAGAGTCACTGGGGCTGTGACCTGGAAGGTGGATCTCCCGCCCCGCCTTCTCTCTCTGCTTCCTGGCAGCTGTGAGGTGAGCCGCTTTCCCCTGCCCAGCCTCTTGCATCGTGACACTTCTGCCTGGAGTTGGGCAGCTGTGTAAGGTCTGAGAATTCTACAACGTGAGCCAAATAAACCTCTCCCCTCTAAATTGAGGGTATTGGGCATTGTGCCCCAGTAATGAGGAAAGTGACAAAGACAACTAGTGATGCTCATGTATTTTTATGTGTATTTGGGGCATTACTCTTTCTCTTTTTGTAAAATATATGTTTAAATGTTCTGCCAATTAAAAAAAATTGAGTTGTTCATCATTTTATTGTTCACGTTTTTATTGTTTGTGAACATTCTTTATATATAACAGATTGTGTTCTTTGTCAGTGTGCTATGATTGTTTTTTCCCAGTCTGTGGCTTATCTCCATTTTTTTTTCTGGTACCAGGGATCAAACTCAGGACCTTGTGCTTGTGAGGCAGGTCGCGGTACCACTGAGCTAAACCCCCGGCCCTAGGGTTAGTGTTCTCTATCTTGTTCAAATCTGCCTTCCCCATGTTCATGAAAATGGTTTCTAGTGTCATCTTAGCAGCTGTGTGGTTCTGGGCTGATGTCTGGGTTTGTCGTGTGTCCCGCCTTGGGGGCATGTGTGATGAGACAGGAGAGCCCATTTTCCACACAGACGATCAGCTGTCCCAGCCACATTTGTCTGGCGCTCCTTCCCGAATGAGTTGACCTTGAGCTTGGGTGGCCCACAGCCGCTGTCCTGATGGCCATGGCTCTGTGGACAGGCGCAGTCAGCAGGTTCCACCGCTCTGCTCTTCTAACCCTTCTTCAGCCCGGCCAAGTCCTCTGTGTTTCCCGTGAGTTTCTACAACAAGAAAAACAGGTCGTTTTGTGCTTGTGCTTGGGTCCGGTTGTACCTTCAGATTAGTTTGGGGAGTGCACCAGCACTAGCAGCTCAGCCCTGGAGTGTGGGGTGCCCGTGGACTCATGGCCTCTGCACTGTTCCGTAGCTTCCCACGGGCTGGTCTCACTGCAGGTGGGGAGACTTACTCTAGCTGTTTCATGTTTGTTGACATGGGCCGGAAGTTCCCCGTGTGGGAAGTTCTGATTAGAAATCCAGTTTGTCGAGCAGATGTTAGACAGGGCAGGGAGTGCAGCTCAGAAGTAGAGCACTTGCCTAGTGCGGTGAAGGCCCTGAGTTGGACCTCAGTACCACAAAAATGTAGATGTTACAGATTTAGATTTTCTAGCTTATCCTTTTTTACGCACTTCAAAGCATTTTTCCATTTTATTTAAACTGTTTAGTTACTGAATATCATTCTTAATATTTTCTTATTATACCTTTAATATTCATAGGATCTGTAAATTCCCAGGGTCAGTAATTTGTATTTTTCTTTAGAGGTTGTCACCTTTTTTGTAGTACCAGGGATTGAACCCAGGGCCTTCACACTGAGCTACATACCCAGTCCTTTTTTATTTTTTTGAGGGAGGGTCCTGCTGAGTCACTAAATTACCAGGCTGTGCTGAAACTTGGAATGCTCCTGCCTCAGCCTCTCAGAGTGCCGCCATGTCCACTGGTTTATCACTTTTTAATAAAAATTATAAAGAACCAAATTTTGACTTTGTTGATGATCTCTATTATTTGCTCTAACCCATTTTCATTGATTATTTTCACTCTGATTTGTTCCTCTACTAACACTAGATTCAGTTGGCTCCTCTTTCTTTAGTTCCTTGAGAACCATCTACTTTCTCTTCTTGTCAGTTTTTACGGTTGGTGGGATTTGGTGTTGTCATCATGCTCATGCAAGATTCTAAGATTGTTGTGCTTTTTGTGTTCACATGGTGACGAGGGCTCCATTTTGTGTAGCTTCGCTGGTTCTTGTTCTGCTTTTCAAAGTGAGTAAGGAAGTGGGCTTTGGTAGAGTGCTGACCCTGGGCTGGCCACAGGTCTTCAACCTCTGACAGATCAATATGTACAATTCTCAGTAGATAAATTAGCACATGTTATCTGCAGTTAACCAAAGGAGAAATTCGAGTTACCAATGAATGTATGAAATGTTTTTCAGTCTCATTAGTAATCAAATGAAAACTATAATGGTAAAATAATTTATCACTTAAAAATTGGTAAATTGGGGCAGGAGGGAGATGAGAGGGTGGGGAAGGGCAGTAAAAATGACCACGGTGCAATATGTATATGTACCAGTTCCCAAGATGAATGTATTTATTACATATTGCAAATGTGTAAAACAAGCAAATTGGTGGAGATTTTTAAGAAGAGGGGAGTATCCAGTTTGTTCAAGAATTACAGAAATGACTGCTGTGATGTACTGTCGATTGCACGTGCTCACGGAAGTCACGGTCTCTGAATGCCCCTGCTTCGGGGGTTCACAGTGAAGTTTGCACACTGCTGTGCAGGCAGCCGACCCTCTCACTGCAGCTTCTGTACTGCCCAGTGCAGTCTTGAGTGGTTCGAAATTGAGTGAGGTGCTCTTCTTATCACGATGGTAGTGACTCAGGGGTGCATGGGTAGGGGGTGGATGGAGAGATGACAGGATATGCAGGAGATAGGCAGAGACAGTTCATAGATGAGAGATCAGTGATGGGTGGGTGAGAGGATGGAGGATTGCCCACGTGGCTGGGGGGGTCCTGCTGTCTCCGCTGTGCATCTTCACTGGTAGTGATTCTGGGAAGCCACTCAGGATGGGAGAGTTTGAGTTTTAGATAAAGGGAGGCTGTATGTCAAGGATGATACAGCCACCTGCCTGGAACAGTCCTACAAGAATCATGGATATAACTGAGATTTAATAATCATAAAAATATTGTGAATGTACTCCAATACATTTTAAATCTAGATGAAATGGATGTATTTCTAGAAAATAGTTGATGTAAGAAAAAAACCTTGGATATACAAACAATCATTAAATAAATTGACTAACATTAAAATCTACTCCCTTTTCCACCCACCATCTTCCCCAATTGTGCCCAAACCAGATGATATTCAAGGTGAAATGAACCCTTAGAAGCAACATGTCATCCTCATCCTAGATAACAGAACAGGAAGGTGAGAGAAGAGGGAGGAGCCAGCTTCAGAGGATTGTTACTTGACACTATGGTCAGTGTTAGCTCAGAAATGAGGACTCCTAGTGAAGACTGGCCCACTCCAAGAGCATAAAAATCACAGTCACTGTGGGTCTGCAAGAAGGGTTCATCAATGTGGAAAACCTACCAGTGAGACACCAAGGAAAAACTAGGCTATTATTTCAGTAGATATAAAAAAAGCGCTTGATAAAGTTCAACATTTTTCTTGATAAAAAGTTCTAGAAAATTCAAAAAGTGTTCCAGGATAGTGTGCAAACGGAGGACGTGGTGTGAAGGGACAGAGAGTGGAATGGAAGCTCCCGTCCTCCTCTGTGTTCCATTGCTTCCGTATGTCATTGTGATGATGTTCTGTGCCATTAAGCATACAATTAAAGAAAAGAAAGTCAATTTCTTGCACTCCTCTCCATTTGACTTTTGGGGTGAATATTATAAAATAATCCTATAAAAAATAAAACAAAGAAAAGAGAGCCAAGTCTAGCTTTACGAGCCGTGGCCAACTTCTGGCTACCTATTAGTGGAGACTTATTACCAAAAGGTAATAAAAAGTCAGAAGGGTGCATTGCATGAATGTGGACATTGAAGCAGAAAAAGTGGTAGATAATTTACACAGAAACTTTGCATTTTCTTTTCCCTTATGGGCAAGACAATTTTCAGTTTTCTTGTTTCTTCTAGTCTCTCAATGGCTTCGCTCTGGTTGTGAGTGCAGAAGGGATGATTTTTTACGCATCGGCCACGATTGTGGACTATTTGGGCTTCCACCAGGTAAACGAGGCAAAATTGGGCTATTAGTCTGTTAAATGCTAGATCTGTTATCTTTGCAAATGTTCCTTGTCTTGAAGATTTAAGAAATATCTAAAAATGAAGCTTTCCATGTCACTAAGCTTGCTCTGTCTATGGTAGCCCACCTCCTGGTCTTTGTGGGAGCCATGATGATGTTGCATGCCACTCCTAGCAGGCTGGCTCTGTCCTTGGTTTCCCACTCAGGGAGCTGTTGCAGCACTGTCTTCAACTGCAGATACTTGGCACATTCAGGACACAGTTTGTTCCAGAAGCGCCCTCGCTGATGTGCAGGTAATTTGTGTGGGATACTGCCAGGCCAACCCAGCTCGGATAGTTGGGGCTTTAGGGCTGAGAGCTGATATTGAGGCCCCTCAAACACCAGGATGTTGGAAAGATGACCCTGCCCAGAAAGGTACAAGAAGACTTTCAACCAAGGCCCAGAAAGGAGCAAGGGAACTTTTTTCTGCTTGGTTTCTGGAAGGAAAAAGAAGTCTCTGGTAGGAAATAGAAAGGTAGAATTTAGAATCCAAGCCTGCACCATGAGGTAGAGAGGGCTTCCTGGTCTGGACAGAGGAACTCAGAACCCGGGCCTTGGGCTGCACCTGGGCCACCATCACCAACCGCCTCCTCTGAAGCTGATCTTGCAATCCAGAGATCACACATGGACAGCAAGCAGAAGCCAGAAGACAGAATAACCTGTTTGACACCTCCTAGAAGAGCTCAGAACAACAGCACACTCTGAAGGGAAATAAATGTGTTAGAAAGAATACAAGGTAGTATAAAGAAAGAACAGCATATAATGAAAAAGAACAAATAGAACTTTGGAAAATAAAGAAGATTGGATATTAGTCAGGATTGGTTTAAAGTGCAGTCATCTCACAGTCTAATATAAAGAACTTGTGACTAGGGACACAGATTTATCAGTAAGGGTAAAGAGAGCCACAAAGGGCACAGCAGCACTTGGAGGAGCAGCAGGCACTCAAGGTGCCCCTCCTGGAGATCCTAAGGCTGAGTGTCAGACCCTTCTGGGTGCAGGTGAGGCCATGAGACTGGGTAGTGGAGGTTGCTGAGCTGCCTTCCAGGCTGTCTGGGATTCGCTCTTGGCGGAGGTCAAGAGAGCAGCAGGGAAGCAGCCCCGAGGGTACCCCCCCATCCATGGCACAGCGGGCCCTAGAGGGTCCTGGCCTGCTGAACCTCTGGAGCAGGACCCTGCCCTGCTGCCCCAGCTGCTGCCAGCAGAGGGCACATGCTCGTGGAGCTGGGATAGACGCGTACCAGGGAAGTGTGGGTCAGCAAGTCAATGCATAGAGGGATTAAAACGGAAACCTTGTGTTCAAGCAGAAAGCCAAGGGCTGCAGTGCCAAAGGCAGTGGAAGCCAAGATCTAAGGGTGTAGGTCTCTGACATGTTGTTAGAATTCTGCTTGAGGCCAGCGTAGTGTTTTATCTAATGTCCAAGAAAACTACAAGTTTGAATAGTTTTCCAGAACTAAACTAGCTGTGCAATGCCTTACATCTGCCTCTAAGTTTAATGTCCAGTCCCTGCAAACCCCAGGGACTTCAGGACCTTGACCTTACCCAGACGCACAACTGTCCTGTCCTCTGTCTTGGGAGGCCATGTATGGTGTCATATGTAACCCTCACCTGCACCCTGGCACCCTCTCACCCAGTCCTCTAGACACAGCTCAGCACCAGACCTGGATCAGCTATGACAGGCGTGGAGGACTGGACGGGACGGCCACGTGCAGGCAGCATGAACACTGGCCGTTGACCCAAGCGAAGGGCTCTAGCAGCTGCTCTGTTGAGGATGCAGAAGGCCTCAGGCTGGGTGTGGCCATCTATGCAATCACTGCACTGCACTGTGCTTGGTTTCCTATGTCCACATGGTATGCAGAGTACTGTCTGCCTCCCCAGCTGCTGTTAGGGCTTCATGGCAAGGAAGCGCTCTTGGTGCCTGGGAAAGGTATCCCCGCCTCACTCTTGACGGCCTGGCACCTCAGGTCTCCTGTTAGTGGTGTGTCCATCTTGGGGGGAACCTTGGGTGGTAGCACTGTGTTCCTCACCCCTGAGATGACACCTATCCCAGAGTCGGCCATGCTGAGGCATTCCCACTTCCTGCATGGGAACCGTGGACTTCACTTACACCATGGAGAGCAGGAAAGAGCAGAAATTGGGTATTTACTGAGGCTTGATTCCCCCTCTTGATGTGGGGTCCTGGTTCCCATGATAGTGCAGAGCTTGGGGACGTGGACAGATGGAGACATGACACAGTGACACGAGTGGGCTCCCAGTGTGGACAGTGCTGTATGCAGACTCTGTGGCTGCACGTACAGGGGCTTCATTCTGCATGCTTAGAGTTACTCAGTTGCCATCTGTGTCAGCTGAGTGCTCCGGATCTTACACAGGCAGAGCTGCTTCCTTTAGCCGGAACTGGTGGCCTTGCTGTGGAATCTGGGGACAGAGGCAGGTGCTGTGGGTAGGGGCTCTGGTTGTGGGGCAGAACTTGCTCACTGGCTCTTTTGTTTCCTTGAAGCTTTGTTATTTCACCTCAAGCATTAGAAGTGAAAAACAGTTTTGCTTTTAGTATAAAGAATTTGTTTTCAAATGCCATTAAATCAAGGCTTCCCTTGAGTTCCTGCGACATTTCATGAAAATGTTATAGTAGCTCTGTGTTCTTGTGAGCTTCTCCTGTCTGACTCTTTGCAGAAAGCCAGGAGCCAGTTCCTTCCCCTTGTAGCCTGAGCATGCTGTCCATGTCTTTGCATTGGCACACCTGGGGCAACCAGGGGTGTTTTAGCCACCCCAACATCTACTCAGGAAGCTGCTTGTGCCTTCCCAGTCACCCATGGCAGCTGTCCCTGAGTGAACCAGTGAGATGCCCTGGCTCATGATCTGAGCAGGTGCGACCCTGCAGCCACGAGTACAGATGGTGCACACTTTGCCCAGAGGTAAAAATGATGAGTGCCGCAATGTTCCACTGGTTAAACCAGGAATGCTTTCATTCTGGGACCCGCACAGATGGTGGTTCACAGCTGAAATGAAGACTGCATTCACTCGATGAAAGCAGTTTGGGTTTTGCCATCCGAGGAGCTGTCCTGCCCCTGCAAGTCCCCTTCACATTCCCATCCTCCTACCTGCTTATTCCTTTTGACATCCCTTTGTGGAACCAGGAGATGAAGGAGGATGCAGGGCCATCAGATAGGCCACCCTCATCTCTGAAACACAGAGCTTTGTTTCCTCAACCTCAGGCTTCCACAGTTCAAATCTGCCTTAAAAATAGGCTTTCTGGTTTTGCCCTGCCCTCTGCCAGACCCGTACCTCTAGGTGAATCCGTGTCCCTTTCGTAACTAGCGAGGGTGTGGGGACAAGGATGAGACCCTCCAAAGAAAAAGAAAAAAGAATGAGGCCCTGTGCACCCTCAGATCACGACCCTGCCAAGCCTCTGCCGAGCTTCAGGTCCCCCACAGGCACTGCAGAGACAGTCGTCGCACAAGTGACAGTGCCGGCCTCCAGCCTCACTCCAGCATCACAGTGGTGCCACCCAGGGCTCACCCCATGGCACTAAACCGAAACACAGAGGGAAACGAGCTCCCCAGACAGGATTAAAACCCCTAAATCCCAAAGAACAAATCTACCAAATGACGTATAGTACTTCCACGGGCACAAAAAAGCATTATTTTTAAAGAAATGAAGGCCAAACTAGACACACCGAGAGATATACTATATTCATGAATTGGGAGCCTCAGTATAATTATAAAGTTTTTTTCCAAATCAAATTATAGAGTTGATGAAATTATAACAAAAACTGAGCAACTTTCTGGTGGACATGGACATACTAATTCTAAAATTTCCATGGAAGTGCAGAGGCTGAGAAGATCCAAGACCATCCAGAAAAAGAAGGAAGGGGAAGCCGGTGGTGACCGCTGGGACCCTGTGCTGCTGCCAGATGCACAGCTTCCCGAGACTGGGGGCTCAAGGCTGGATGGACCATGCATTCAGACATCCAGAGCCACTGGGCCGGACTGCCGGCTAACCCACTGCTGCAGGGAGAGGGGAAGGATGCTCGTTTCACAAATGATGCTGGAACACTGAATCGAAGTGGGAAAAAAGGAATCTTGTCTCCTACCTCACACCATACGAAGAGTAACCACCAGGCAGATAAAAGAACTTTCTAGAAGATGGCAAAGTGAGTTCCAACATCTGTGAGGAAAGATGTCTTAGGCAAGACCAAACCCCATGAGTGGGACTGTGCAGACCCTGAGGAAGGTGGGTAGGTGGCTAGGCAGTGGGAGATGTCCTCAGCAGAGTGCAGATAGGAACACATCAGTGGGCAGCTCGGTGTGATCCATGAGGATGGTAATCCAGCAGCAAGCACACGGTGCACACGCACACACGCATACACATCCCAAGACCAATAAATGCACGGATAGACCTCATTCTTCTGACATGCAAATTAAAGCCACAATGAGATGCCACTGCACACCCACTGAGAGGCTGAAATGCCAAGTGTTGGTATGCACGGGGAGCAATGTGATGCTGCCCCAACAGGGCCAGCATCTGCACCAGCCTGGAGATGAACCACTGATGCAGACCCTTCCCCTACCCCAGCAGCCACGCAGTTATGTCCAGTCGTGGCAGCTGCAGAGTGCCCCGTGGGAGACAACCACGTCCACCAGCTGGATGATGAGCACCACCGCAGTACTGTGGCGGCAGCAAAATACCACCACATGGGAATGGGACATTGCAGTTACACATGGGCCAGTCTCATGGCTGAGACGTTGGGTGGGACAGACACCAAAGAGCACAGTGTCCCACTGGCAGACCAGTCTGCAGTGGGAGCATGGCTTGCCATTTGGTGCCACATCTTGTGTCCTGATTGGTGGTTGCATCCTGATCCCAAGCTGCATGTCGTATTCAGGGCACAGCTTCGGTGTCCTACTTCAGTCACAGAAGTTCATTAAGAAGCCAGGTGAGCTGAGGTGTGTCCACTTCTGCCACAGGAGCCTCTGTCCCTTGGCCCCACGGCTGCTCCAGAGCCCTGACCTGGGCAACGCTGACTGAGGATGGCAGCTACCCAGCCCCTCTCTGCCTCTTCTCCTGGCTCCCTCTTGACTCTTCTTTTTAAGGAAACTGTCTTAGTTACTTTTCTCATTGCTGAGACAAAATACCCAAAATCCAAAGTTAAAGGAGGAAAGGTTTATTTTGGCTCAGTTTGTAGAGGTTTCAGTCCATAGTTGGCTGGCTCCAAGGCAGGATGGCAAGGCAGAGGGGCATCACAGAGGGGAAACAGCTCATGGCAGGCAGAAGGCAGCAAAGTAGCAAACAGCAGCAGAAGCAGCAGCAACGAAACAGCAGAAGCAGCCTTTATATTCTGTCCAGGCTGTAAGCATATTGATTGGTGCAGCCCACACCCAGGATGGGGCCCTCTTAATCACACTTAAACACACTCTAGATCCAGCCAGCTCCCAAAGCCCCCACCTATGAGTCCATGAAGCTTCGGGCGCACATCTAGATACAGCGATGCAGGAACTTCACCTTAGCTGAGGGTGCCAGGCAGTGAAGTCCAAGTCTTCTCTGTGGCTGTAAACCTTGTCCTCCTCCCTGAGGTACATCTTGTTTAATGCTCTGGGACCCCATGGGGCTCATCCAGGAATAATGAGCATACGGGAAAAGATGGTAGATCTCACCCACTCTGAGCAAGTATATGCATTACATTCTTTTTTGTTTGTTTTTGGTACCAGGGATTGAACTCGGGACCTTGCACTTGGGAGGCAGGCAGCGGCACCACTGAGCTAAACCCTTGGCCCTCTATGCATTACATTCTTAAAAGGGAAGCTTTTGTTTTGTTTTGTTTTGTTGGGTTTTTTTGGTACCGGGGATCGAACTCGGGTCCTTGCGCTTGCACAGTAGGCAGTGAAACCACTGAGCTAAATCCCCGGCCCTAAGGGAAGCTTTTTTTGAGGTTGTGATTGGTAAGGGACTTTTCCTCCAGCCAGGAAGAATCTTTGAGCTCATGTAAGGATCTAGTTCAGAAGTGTTTAAACCCTCGGTGGACGTGTTCTGAAGGAGTCCAGTCCTACAGTGCTCCAGCTGTCCCTGGTAGGTGTTTGTCCAGGTTCTGAGTGCAGGAAGGAGCCTCGTTCCTCATTAGAGAAGGTGGGGGGCAGAGGAGACCTGTGTGGGCCATCCTGAACTACCCATACCCTCTGAGAACATTTTACAGCAACAGGAGAGCTGAGGCCCCCAAAGTCAGTTTTCACAGCCATGGTCTAGGCTCCAGCTACCAGACTAGTCTCCCAACAAGGGCGCTGTGCCTGTGGGGATCAGTATCACCTCGGGGCCTGTCTTCCCTGAGGAGGTAGGAGGACAGAGGACCAGAGAGAGGCCTATAAGCTGGCAGGTCCCTAAAGCATCTCAGACTGGGGCAGGTTGAGCCTGGTTCCAGACAACAGGAAGTCACAGGGAACACAAGACATTCAGTGGGGACATGCAGGAGCCACAGCTGGAGGTGATTTAGCAAGGTGGATGTCTTGGCCAAGTGTCTGTGCCCGAACGTCCAGTTTCTGAGCCGCTCATTCAGCCTGGGTGGGCACCCAGTTTGGGGGCACAGGGAGGGATCTGGTGTGGGGCTGGCTGGTGAGGTCCGGGGAGACAAGTCTTCACGGGGTGGTGTTGACCCCGAAGCCTGTCCTATGGGATTCTCCACAGGCATGACTTGCTTTTGACGGATGTGGAAATGCTGTGCTTTATAATTGCTGGAACGAGTATGCAAATTCAGGGTAAGGCTATAACAACTATTTCGGTATTGCAGACAGACGTAATGCACCAGAACATTTATGACTACATCCACGTGGATGACCGCCAGGACTTCTGCCGGCAGCTCCACTGGGCCATGGATCCCCCACAGGCGGGTTGTGGGCAGCCCCCACACATGGAGGCAGGTGGGTCAGTGTGTCTTGAGCTCTGTGCACACCCTGGACACCCTGGCTGTCTGCCATCCATGCTGGCTTCCACACTGGATTTCACTTTCTCCAGAGCCAGCCTCCCCCATGGGCCACGTGTCCTGTAGCTGGTCCTTCCCATGGTGCCTTGTGCAGCTCCTGGGATCCCTCGTGTGTCAGCCCTCGAGCACTGTGATAAATATGCAAAACAATGTGCTTATGAAGAGGAAAGGATTATTGGGCTCATAGTTTTGGCAGTTTCAGCCGGTGGTTTGGGGAGAGGCGTTTCTTCTAGGACTCTGGTGGGATGGGAGGGCCTGGTGGTGCCAAACCACCGCCTTGATGGCCAGGGGGTGCAGAGGAGGCAGAGGGGACAGGGCCCACAGTTCCCTCTGGTCCCTTTGAGGATCTGACCTCCCATGAGGCCCCACCTCTCAAGTCTCTGCTGCCTCCCAGTAGTGCCGTGGGCCAGGGATCAGCCTTTAGTACCGGGCCCTTGGGGACGAGCACATGCTTAAGACCCAGGCTCTCACCCTTTGCTAGAGCTGCAGCACTTGTATCTTGGTGTCGAAGCTCTCTTCAGGACCCTCTCTGCCAGTCCAGATGTACCAGAGAGTCCTGACAGCATGGTGCCCGTTGTGCACATGACCCCAGGGAACCACTTCCCCTCCAAGCTTCTGTTTGTCCTGAGTTCAGCAGGCATCCAATTCCCAGTAAGCAACAGATGCGGGTGAGCTCAGAAGGGTCAGAGCAGTCCATGCTGGGGAGACAGTGTCAGCCTGGGAATCCTGTGCACAGGAACATTCTCTTGTGTTTCCACACACATCCGTGGGCCCTGAATAACTCACACAGAAGTTTCCACCTCAGCCTCATGTAGCTGCACGATTCATTCACCTTAGTGAGTTGAAAGCAAAATTCCAGCCACAGGTGCCTGCATCCCTGTCATTCCATGAAGTTCAAACAAGCAAAATTGAAACTCCATGCTTTTAAGGGAAGGGGACAGTGGAGGCCAAATTCCCCAGAGCAGATGGGCTTGTGCAGCTGGGGCGGTGTGTGTTGTGCACCTTGTGCTGGCTGTGACACGTTCCACTCGATTATTGATGTTTTTATGGCTCTCTCTTGGTCACGGCCTCTGCCTCCCTGCCACGCTCCTGCACTTCCTTGGAAGCAGACAACACGGTCCTGGGGAGGTTGCTCAGGGCCCAGGAAGGGGGCATGGGCTCACCCACTGAGTACTCAGCCTTCCTGACACGTTGCTTCATCTGCCGTGTACGCTGCCTACTGGATAGCACCTCCGGTTTTCTGGTGAGTGAGCGGCATCCTGCATGGGGACCTGGGCCAGCCACAAGGTAGCCAGCATCTGATACATTGTGCCCTGAAGTGAGGGTGACCCTGGGTCCAGGCTCCACCTGCACAAGCTACCAGCATGGGGCCTGGCAACCACCGGGCTGCAGGAGGGTTGTGAGTTAGTGGACCACTGCGAGGCCAGGAGGTAAGGGAGAGGAGGTACTTAAAACCAACCTGCGTATCTTTCAGAACATCCTCTGCCAGGATGCAGGGTACGGGGCCCCACTCAGTCCTGGGAAGTGCCTCGTGCTGCCCACAGGCCCCAGTTAGGACTGCAGGAATTTTAAGATTTGATTGATATTAGGCTGATGGTTTGAAACCAGCTGCAGCATGAATATTTACTTTAAAATCTGGCAAATACTGCAAACCTGGGACTTTTTCCCCCTGAAGAGCTGGCTGTTAAATATTGCTAGCACACCATTTCCTTGAGTTCCCCCATGCAAGGTAAGTGACTGGTGCTTAGTCAGGGCTTACAAATGTTTGTTCCCTCAGTTATCCCATGGAAGAGGGTTGGAGGGGTGGCCAGAAAGCTGTAAGGAAGGAAGGACGGAAAGATGGGTGGAAAACTGGGAGAATCATGGGATGGAGGAAGAGAGCAGTCGTGGAAGAATGTGTAGTCGATGGGTGAAAGGTGGAAGTGGCTGGTAGTCCTGAGGCCGTGCTTTCAGACCGGAGCAGAGTGAGGCCAGCGTCTCCTGAGGGCTCAGGACGAGCGCCCTCTCCGCATGTCTGTCCCTGCAGTCGGTCACCTCACACCCTGAGTTCTGCAGCCTCCCCGAGTCTCCAGTTCACGCCATGAACACAGCTTTCTGTCTTTAAAATGCCAGATGATGCAGTTTCAAGGAAAACTAAGATTCCTGTTGGGACAGAAGAAGAAGGCGCCGTCGGGAGCGGTCCTGCCCCCACGGCTCGCGCTGTTCTGCACCGTGGTGCCAGTCCTCCTGCCCTCCACAGCGGAGATGAAAATGAAGAGCACATATCTGAGGGTGAAGCACAGGGCAGAGGTGCCAGCCATGACAGACACAAGGTGAGCAGGAATTGATGGCATCCAGTGCACGGGGCCTTGGGACCAGTCTCCCCTGAGCCACAGGCCCCACCTGCTTGGTTTCCAGAGAGGCAGCTACTCCCTGTTGGGCTGTTGCACAAAGTGGGACTCAGCCTGTTGCCCCCAGTATGCCTGGGCCCCCTTGGGACAGTGCCTCCAAGCCCCGCCTGACGGGTGGACCATGCCTACCCCACACCCATCCCTGCCCTGAGGTCCTCAGTTAGAAGCCGGGAGCCAGAGAGCCCATCTAGCCTGTCCCTCACATCTGTTCCATCCTATCTGCTCAGTCCCTGCTGACCCAGGTCCACTGACCAGTCAGTGGCCCAGCCCTGGCCTTGGTTACAGACCCTCAGCCTGCAGTTCCTCTTGGAGAGGTCTGTGTGTCTTGCCCAAGCACCTGTCCATGATTTCCCACTTCACAGGGCTGTACAGACTGAGTGTGGAGGAAGCCCCGGCAGGCTAATAACTCAGCAAGCTAAGCTGGGCTTGACCCTGCTGCAGTCCGGGCACAACTTGTCGAGGCTGCAGAGACACCCCCAGATGGGACTTGCCCCACGCAGTCCAGACATGGCATTCAGAGGAGCGTCTAGCAGACTCCCTGCACTCCTGACACAATCCTGTAACCCCTGCCCTTCCCCTGGCAGCACAATCACTCTGATGGTGATTTCCAGATACTTTGAAATCCACATGACTTTGCAGGAACATTCACAATGGGCCAGCAATGCAGTCTGAATGCAGTCAGCTCCTCCTTCTTTCAGAGCATTCTGCCTTTAGTAATGCCATCACTGGCAGCAGACTGGCCCTGTTTTCTTAAACTGTGGGTGCTGTTGGACCCATCTGTGCTGAGCTTTACTTGGGCTCTCGGTTCCACCTGCAGCTTTCAACTCTTTTTAACATTAAATCTCATTTGTCAGATTCAAGCCTGGGTCAGCCTGGAGAGCCCGGCCTGGCTCCCCTCCCTCTGCATAGGCTACTTTGACCTGCCTGCCTCTGTCCTTCTCCATAGAAGGTACTAGGTGCCAGGCCTGTCACACACCTGAGGTCTTGGTGCCCCTGCTGCAGGGCCCATGTGATGCTGGCAGTTCCCTGGGGGTATGAGTCCACCCCTCCCGCCCACAAGTCACCGTCACCTTCCCTAAGCTCCGTGTAGACCGCAGGGCCATGTGAGGGATCCCTCTGTGGTGCACTCTGCTCTCCTCCTTATCGTGCTCCTGCACAAGCTCAGGCCTCTGCCCTCGCCTTGAGGGGTGTGTGGTGGGTGGAGCTGGTGTCTGGCTCAGAATGCTGAGAAGAGCAGACTTCAGGACATTCTAGAATCAAATTCCTGTTTTTAAAGCCATAACATACTAAAGGAAAAACAAGCTAAGGAAAGAAGGTATGAAGGTAAGTGGTGAGCCTCGTGCCTGCCAGCTGGACCCCACTGAATGTGGAGCTCAGGGTGAGGCCAGGGGGTGGGGCTCTGCAGCTGCCGGGTGGCCCTGCACCTTTCCTCGAGGAGTCTTCTGTATTTAAAATCCAAGTCACAGTCGGCCTTCTGCTTCCTGTATGTTTTTCCTGCCCTAAAATCAAACTGAGGGGCGGTTCTGAGCAGCCTTCTCCAGCTGAGCCCAGGTGGGAAGTGCCACCAGCCACCCTGGGGCCCAGATGGGTGCAGTGCAGGTTGCTGGTCACTGGCTGCTTCCCCTGCCCAGGGGTTGGGAGGGCACCAGCTTGCAGTCAGACAGGGAGAATAGGAGTCAGGAGGACAGGGAGTATGGACCCGCCTCACCCCGGGGTTGAGAACATCATCTGCTCCGACACGAGTTTAAAGCTGATCTCCAGCACACACCCCGCACTTGGCCATCTGCCTCTGCCCTGCGTGCAGTGACACAGGGTCAAGCTAGAGGCCACAGCTCCCACTGGAAGGGACATACAGCGGTTGTGGGAAGCACACTGTCACTCACTCACAGCTGACGCTGCTGGCTTTGTCACAGGCCGCTCTTCTTCTTTACTCCAGGAGCCTTTTGCATGCTTTTCCTACTTGCTTAAATCTCTTTCTAAACCCAATTCATGGGCTGGGGACATAGCTCAGTGGTGCAGCACCTACCTAGCAAGCACAAGGCCCTGGATTTGGTTCCTGATACCAAAAAAAGAAAAAAGAAGAAGAAAATCCCCAAATAAACAAACAAATGAAAAAAACCCCAAATCAGTCCTCGCTACAATTTTGTGATTGTCTGTGGACACACACATGGCGTGAATGAGATTTCACCACACACCCACAAGAGGCCTCTGGTCTCCTCCCTACAGAGACCCCGCATGGAGAGGTCAGCAAGGTGGATGGGGATTGAATCCCAACTCTGGCACTCCTAGCAGGGCAGCACCAGACAAGCCACCTATTAGTTCTCCTTGCAAAATAAAGTGGAAGACATCAGAATGATTCAAGATTATAATCCGTGTAACACAGACACATTTCCCTAGAAAGGGTTTGTCCTTCATGGTTACTTTCTAGAATATAAGAACAGACTGTCTTGTTTTGGCTGTTCAGGAAAATACATGAGTTCTAAAACCAATCTTATATGCACAGCTACATTCTGAAACAAATTCTTTTGCATTTTATTGGCCCACAGAGTGACAGGATTGAGAATTTTCAGCAATCTGTAACCAAGAAGACTTTCAAGCTGTAAAGACTTGAAAGGTGTAAGCTGCTGTTTCTACCTTCACCACTCAGGCAGACAGGCCAGTGATGTGGGCCATTATTAATCCCTTCCATCAGTTATTTGGCTATGATCTGTTCTTTACAGGGCAAAAGCGACCGTGAGTCTGTGTGAACCAGAACTTCATGGAAAACCCAGCTACTTAGCAGGTACTGTTTAAAGTTCTAAATCTCATTTTTTCTAAATGGGCTTTTGGCCCTCAGAGACCTCTTCCCTGTCCCCCTTCCCTATACCTTGCAGAAATCCCGAGTATCCCAAGGAAATACCATGTGGAGGGTCACAGGGTACATCCCACGGAGGACAGCACCTGTTCCTGTCACCCAGGTCCTCTTTAAGTTGAGAACAGCTCGACTCCTCCAATCACATGGTGACTGGTTTCTCCCCTCTTAAACCCTAACAGGAAGGAATGGTGAAAACAGCATCTCAATGTTCAGGGCACAAACGGATGCCTGCCACTGGGCCCGGGTCCCAGCCAGGGCTCGATGCCCCTGCCTCAGGGGGGGCATGGACCTCATCCTGGATTCCAAGGGGGCAACAAGGTAAGTGGTGCCAGGGTCCCCACCCCTTGCTGGAGTCACCATGAGGCTACCGTGAGGGGAAGGAGTCTGGATCCCTGCTGGTGCTCTACTGCTCTCCCAGCCCGGACAACATCTGCAGCCTCTGTCCCTTCTGCAGGCCACGTGCCTGACCTGCCCTTCCCAGACTGGACGCTGCATGTTGACCTAGCCAGTGTCTCCCATCACAGAGGAGCCAACCTGATGCACACAGTGTTGTGTTGGTCTGCGTTTGAATGTGACAGCCCCCCACCTGTGACCTGTGTGGCTGAGGCCTCGCTGAGAAGTGGCTGCTTCCTGCAAGCCCCTGCCTTCTGATTCCCACCAGGCACTGGCTGGGCGGGTGAGAGAGAGGGGGTTCTGCACTGCCTCGAAGGCTGCCAGGAGCAGAAAGGGGCACTGAGGCATGGGCCTGGCTCCCAGCTGCCCCAGCAGATTAAGCCAGTGTTACCCTTGCTCAGTACCGTGTCTCAGGCCCTCTGCCGACATCCATCTCTCTGCAGGGACAGGGAAGAAACAGAGCAGGACAGGATGCCGAGTGGCTCCACAGGAGGGAGGACACGGAGGGAGCTGCATGTGTACAATTGCCGTCAAGAGACACCAGCACCCGGGCGGTACCTGAACTGGACCACAGAAAAGTGTGAGCAGGAAGGCGGCACCAAGCTGAAGCCACTGCCAGGCAGGAGTGAGCCCCTCTCCATGTGCACCGCATCCCCAGGCTCCTGCCTGCCCCCCCCAGGCACCGAGGGCATGTTCAGTGCCAGCAGCCTGGCTACCTTCAGAAATCCTCCAGGCCATGTCCCCAGTGCCTACTGTGGCCGGATGAGCAGAGCCTGGCGGGATGTCTCTCAGGGCCAGGCGCCCCCACCTGCCTGCCGCACTGGAGCGCAGCGCTTCACCTCTGGTGGCTACTGCACAGAGGATGCGAAGCCTGCTGGCCTGCTGATGCCCCCAGGTACCCCGTGCAATCCCATGCTGGCACTGGAGGTACCAATCAAGATGGAAAATGACTCTGGGTCGGAGGACACAGCAGATGGTTGCACCCCTAGCCAAGTGTGGCTGGGAGCCAGTGATGTCACCAAGAGACATCTGGTCACTTTCCCCACCAGGATGCACCTGAAAGCAGAGCCAGAGTGCAGGCACCAGGTCTATAGCCAGCCCCTCAGTGTGGGCATGCTGGCAGCCCACCCTCAGAGCAAGGTCACTGCCGGGCTCTGCCGGGAGCTGGCCCCGTTCTACCCTGCACACAACTCCTGCCTTGAGCTAGGGCCGCCCCGCCACTTCTGCACCCTGGGCCACAGTGAGTGCAGGGCACCGGAGGTCACACCCTTGGTCAAGCGTGAACCCCTGGACTCACCCCCATGGGCTGCAGCGGGCCAGGGTGCTGTGCCCGGGGTCTTCCCCAAAAGTGCTGCTGCTGTTCAGATTCCACCCAGCGCTCCTGAGGCTCCTTTCCTGCTGTAGAGCTGCTGCCACACCCTCCTGGAAACCCACCTGCATCCAAACTCAGACCTGACACAGCCAGGTTCCCAGCCCCTCGACAGGGATGTGACCTAGTGATCCCTTTGCAGGTTCAGGAGTACAGCTGGTGACTGACCCCACACGGGGAGTGCAGCGTTCTGAACTTGGTATCGTGAAAATTCTCTTATACAGCCTATTCACGCAGGACAGTGTTTCCTCGAAGAATTGAAATGTTTAAGGAAGCAACCAAGAGTGCCCAGTGCCCAAAGGGCAGCAAGCCCTGTCCTGAGGAAGTCCATGGCTTCTGAGCTCTCTGCCGCCCCCTACCTGTACCATGTGGGAGCCAGGGGATGTCAGGTGGCAGCACAGAGTAACCAGGAGGAGAACCCCACAGGGGGGCTGGCAGCAAGCCCATCGCGGTGCAGCCTACAAAGTTCCAGGGGGAAGAGGCTGCCATCCCTGCTCCTGTTCCTCCCTACAGTGCTCCGAGTCAGTTTGAGACCGCCCTCAGCATGGAGGTGGACAGGGCAATGCCTATTCCTTCCAGAAATCTCACCTTATTTTCCGTGGGCTGAGAACAGCTCTGGTGTGTCTCCGTCCCAGGCGCATCATGCGGTGAGGCTCACAGCATCAGGCAGCAGAGGGGAGTGCGAGTGGCTGTGCCCGCAGTGCTTTCCAGTGGGGACCCCACTGTCCCCCTACGAAGACTTAGGTGTCTGTTACACCTTAAAAGTTATGTGACAGTAGGGAACTTGGATTCAAAACATGCCTCAGAAAAGGAGGTTGCCACACTCACCCTCAAGGTAGCTCCCAGCTGGGGGCACAACTACCGCCCCGTGGGTGGCTTTGCCCTGGTTAGTGTAGGGCCCATGAGCAGAGGGAGCCGGCAGCAAGGCTCTGCAGCAGCCACCTCCCTCCCTCCCCAGGGGTCTAGGGTGTGGCAGGAGCCTGCTGGACCAGGACCCCTTGCTGCTCCTCCTCCTCCCCATCTCTTCAGCACGGAATCGCTTTCCCCATAACCTGTGGCTTGGGGGGCCAGGGATCACCCCCCATTTACTGTGGAACCTGTTTGGCAGATGCACGTCCACCTTGTCACAGCTCGTGTTGGGTTGGCAGGGTGTCTTCTTCCCAGCCCCTGAGCTGCCTGACTTTCAGGAGGACTCACAGTGGGCCCAAGAGGGTCCTGAAGATGCTCACACAGGCCCAGGCTCAAGAGACTGGTCATTCAAGACTCTCCTACCTCTGCCCAGACCACAGTAGCCTTCAAAAGTGGCACAGGTGCTGTGTTGTCATGAGTGTGATGCACACTCACGGCCTCCACCTCCACCAGTGTCTCTCTCGCCCGAAGCAGGAGTCAGGATGGTGGCCCAGACCTGGAAGCTGACACCTGCCTCACCTCCCTTCCTCCCTGCTGGTCCAGGATCCCCTTGGACCCCAATTTCCTTGCAAACACAGCTGATGTCTACTCTCTGGACATTTATGGATTGAGTCCTCAGGGGTGGGTTTCAGAGTCGTCCTCCTCCTTCCCAGCTCTAACCCAGTGCCCCACTTCAGACTGTGGAAAGCCCTGTATGCACTCAGAACTTCTGCCCCTCGAAGAAGGCATGGCCAAGTGTATGTGCCACTGTGCTTCCTCCCTGGAGGGCAGGGCTACATCCCTGTCCTCAGACAGCCTCATCATAAGGACTGCTCCCCAGCCTCGCCCTGCACAGGGCGAACAACGGCCAGAGGGCACAGCAGACAGCACTGCATGTGTGTAACATGTCCAACACTGCATGCATGTAACATGTCTGGTACTGCACTGTGATGTGTCTGGTGCTGCACACACATAGCATTCTGGCAGTGCACAAGTGTGCCATGTCTGGAGTGTTGGGAACTGGAGAAACCTGAGACCAGAAAGATGGAATTAAGAGACATCCTGGCATGTCTGCCAAGGGTGGCCCTATGACCAAAGGAGAGCCCTTCTGGCCAGGCCACGCTGCCTGCCCTGCCCCAACCTTTCACATATGCCTCATCCGTGCCTCTTGACGGGACAGCAGGCCCAGGACACGCCATGAGCTGCCTGCAGGCCATGCTTGGTGGACACTGAGCCAGGCATCTGGCCCTCAGCTCTGCGGGCTTGGACACTGTTATCATACCACTGGCCTGGGACACAAGGCCAGGGCTGCACCCAGGCAGCAGACCCTCTGGATCAGCACCTCTGTGGTTGGGTTTTGTGTGCCCCTGGATACCTGTGTGGGAAGGTGACAATGGGGCGTGCAGGTGCAGCTGTGGTCACTTTTGCTTCAGGGTGTCACTGTCAGCACTAACTCCGGGAAAGTGCTTTTCTGTGGTGTATAGTTTTTGCTTAAATAGCTGAATGTCAAAATCAAACATAATGTGGAGTGGGATGAAAGGGAAAATAAATACAAGCTATATTTTATATGTTACAGTTGCTACTGCAAGTGAAACTTTCTCAGTGTCCAAACTGGCCTGGTGAAGTCTTCAGCAGACACTCTAAAGCAGCTCTTTGTGCTGTTTTCTCAGTGCCTTCAACAGAGCTTCCAGATATATTTCTTTGTTTAAAAGGAGATCCAGATATATTTCTTATACTGTGATTTGTATTAAATTTGCAGAATTAGTGTAAAATAAATCACATGTTCATATGTACTTGTGTGACTGAGAATGTCTACTTGATTTTCCACATGAAGTCACCTTATCTCCTCAGAGCCACACTGCATTTAGTCTAAGGCAGCCCCTCATCACCAGGCAGAGGCAGTGATCGAAGTAGAATCACTAGAGCCGAAGCTCACTGGGGCAGGGAACCTCACCTGCACCACCTTCCCCCCTCAAGACACTCCAGACTGGAACTGTCCCATAGGAGCGATGAAGACAGAGCTGGAGACTCTGGGGACCAGGCTGCAGGACATGGGTGACAAGTGTGTGGGAAGAGGGCAGGGCAGCTTTCACTTCCTTTGGTCAAATTGCCCCTTGTCGGCAGCCAGTGAAGCGAAGCCCGCACACGCTCAGCCATCCCTCCTCTCGGACCACTGCCAACAACTACTTGTGTCACACCAGGTCTGCTCCCAGACCTCACATTTGCTGTCGAGCCAGGCCAGCTGCCTGACACCCAGTCCCCCTGCCACTGCCAGCCTGAATGTGGAGACTGGGTATCTAGATGGGCCACCCCACCATCTCCCTGGCTTCTCTGGACAGATGTGGGGGGACACTTCTGATTTTCTCCACTGACAGAGGGATCACCCCACCATGTGCCCGTGAGGCACTGGGAGAACAGGGCTCAGGGTCTCACCGTACTAGGTGCTGCCTAATCTTATAGGGCTGCATTTTTGGCATCACCCTCCCTACACCTGGTTTTGGACTTCTGCAGGGTGAAATGTGTACTTCATTCATTCATTCATCATCTGTTGAGTCCCTGCTGAGTGCACTGCAAACACATGTGGGAGCACAAGCATGGATCAGAGCTGTGGTGTGTCCAGACCTGTGCATGTGCATGTGTCCACTCATGTGTGCATGAGCATGATGGAAGGGGTGCAGACAACTACCAACCACAGCAAATGCATATATTCTGTAACCAAAAAAAGGGCAGGTGGGTGTGGCCCAGGAACTAGGGAGTGCTTTCATGGGGGAGGTAGGCATGGCTAGAGCTGAAGGGCAGAGGGAGGGAGGGACACATGTGGAAGGCAGGAGGCACAGTTCTGGACAGGACCTGGCAGGCCTGGGTAGAGGCCTCATTTGTGAATCAAAAGCTCCAGCAGGGCAGGGATGGAGCCAGGGCTGAGAGGGACACCAACTGCCCCAGGTTTCTACACCTGGAGCCGGGATTCTTGCTGCACTTGTTTACCCTTGGGGGTTACTTTGCAGGGGTTTTTATATTCTAGATAGCAATCTCTGGTCAGTTAGAAATATTCCAGTGTTTTCTTTCTGCCTGTGGCTTGTTCTTGCATGTAAGGATATTTTTCTTATATCATACAGTAGTAGGTTTTATTGTTTTTTTGTTTTTGGTGGTACTAGGGTTTGAGCCCAGGGACTTCACACTGAGCTACATCCTCAGCCCCTTAAAAATTTATTTGTTTGAAACAGGGTGCCACTAAGTTTCTAAGTTACTCAGCCTGGGGTTGAACTTTTGGTCCTCCTGGCTCAGTTTCCCAGGGTCCTGAGATTTCAGGTGCATGTCACCATGCCTGGCTTAGTTGCAGCATAGCAAACTATCCTTTTCTTTATGGCTTATGTGTTTGGTGTCTTCATAATTGGCTCTAGTCATGGCTTTTGCCAGCAAAACCCATGCAGTCTGATAATAATGTCACCCCACAGTCTTCCTCAGGGCTCACAGCTGGTGTGTTAACCCCTTCCACTCATAACCCTTCTGTTTATGTTTTAGATGTTCTCTTATAAAGAACCATTTCATTGTTTTTCATCCTTTTATGTACTGATTATCTGAGGATCTTTCTACTTCTTACGCTGTGCTTTCAGTCACATACGATCTGTCCTCTTACCCTCTCCAGAATTGCCTTCACTCTCCCTTCCTTCTCTTTATTTGGAAGCTACAATTCTTCCCATGTTCTTAATGTACACATCTGACAACATCAAGCTGCACCAAAATCTCTGTCCTCCCAGAACTAGACCCCGATTTCAGATGCACCGCCCACCCCGTTTTGTCCAGGTTAAGGAGGGCCCCAAGAAGCTTCCTGGGTTTACTCTGCAGGGAATCTGAGCTCAGAGCCAGGCCAGCCTCCGGATCATCCCCGGATGTAGAAGCTGTCTGTTTTTAGGAACAGCCTTTCACTGAGGATGTCCCATTTGGGTATACGGGCATTATCCAAGAGTCCCTGTCTGCTCTCCACCTGCTGGGAGCCTGAACCTCCTCCCCTATAAAAACCCACACCTGGGCCCCCGGGTTTCTCACTTATTTCCGCCAGCCTGCTCCAGGGCAGCAGACTCTGCCTCCCTCCTCTGCTCTAGTCATCGCATAGGAACCCACCTGTGCATTTAAAAGGATGCTTATTATATCTATCAAATATTCCTGGGTGTGGCACAGGAGGTTATTCCATTATTTAGTCTGACAAAAACAAATCAAGAAAGATTTTTAAATCTCTTTTAAAAAGTTGTAATGAAAAAGAACTTAAATCCTTCAGTAATGTACTCTAACCAGCCCGGTGAACTTAGGAAGTTATTAGGGAGGTCTACTTCAAACTCAACCAGACCTTGATAGTAGGCGTCTCTTAATATCAAATGCTGACATATTTTGAGTAAGAGTCCCAATGCTTCATTTTGGCAAACATTTTTGCATTAGCTCCCAAATCGCTTTACAGTTTTAATTTCAATCATAATTTTAACTTTTTACATTTCTCCACTGCTCAATGTGTAGCTACATTTTCAGAAGTTAGTAGGTAAAGATGAAATCGCAAAGCGAGGGGCCAGCTCCTCTAAGGAGCACTGGCACTCCTTTAGGAGCGTGGCACTTAAGCACTGCCCTCAGCTGGTGGGGGGTGCGTGGTTGTGTGTGTGTGAGGTCCTCTCCTCTAGCTCCCTTCCCTGCCACCTTCAGACCATTCTTTTTGTACCACCCTGGCTGATTTCCAGAAGTGCAGTACTATCTAGCAGTTGGTAACACAGCGGACCATGTCCTTTTCGGTGGGCATGTTAAGGCAAGAAGCGTCCCCACAACAAATCCTGAAATCTTGGTGGCTGACCACCTGTTGTTTTCGCCCAGTTAAGGCCCAGTTCCAGAGCAGTAACTCAGGGACACTCCTGCCCGTGAAGGGTGCCCCCGCTCGGCCCCCTGCAGCTCTCCTGCGGGGTCCCGATCTGTCTGTATTCCTCGATTCCAGGTGTCTGTGTAGGTGGCAGTTTATGGCCTGTTACCCACGTTGTTGATTCACTCACTGAATGCCTGCCTGCACCAGCCGCGGGTCTTGGGGAGCACCGGGCTACGGCACGGCCCACTCCGTGTTGGAACAGGACGGAAGTGGAACACACGAAGTACTGGAGAGGCCAGGAGGAACGGGCGGAGGGTCAGGGTTGGGCAGGTGCTCAGGGGCCGCCAAGAACACGGGGGAGAGGGCGTGGAGGCCCGGACCAGTCCCAGAGCAGCGCGGGCACCCGGTCCTGACGTCCTTCATCCCAAAGCGGCGACCCCAGTCCAGGTCCACAGCCGGGCTCACGCCCCACCCTCAGCGGCGTCCACCTCCGCCCTTCCGGCCCGGCGCCGGAAACGGAAGTGTTTGTTGCCGCCCACTTCCGGTCGGCTTGTGTGGTTCTGGCTGTGCAGACGGTGAGGCTCGTCCCCTGAATGCCGCTGGTCCCTCGGGGAGCTCGCCGGCCCTTTCCTTTTTCCTTCCCGGGCGACCGCAGGGTGAAGACGGAGCGGGGCCAATATGCGGTGACCACTTTGGAAGCTGTCCTTCCCTGTGAGGCGGCCCTGCGGCGGGGTCCCCTTGCCCGTGGGGTGTCCCCGCCGTGAGATTCCCCTTCTCTGAGCGCTGTCCCCGCGGTAGGAGCCGCTTCCTTGAGAGTGTCCCGCGGTGGGTCCCCATCCCTGTCCAGTGGCCCCGTGTCCCCTCCCCTGCTCGGTGTCCCCTCGGTGGAGTTCCCTTCCCTGTGGGGTGACCCGCTCGCTGAGTCCCCTGTGCGCGCTGTCCTCGCGGTAGGGTGGCTCTGAAGGAAGGTTCTGCAAAGGAAGCACACCGCGGCCTCTGCTCAGAGCGTCTAAATTTGGTGGTCTAAAGGCTGTGATTAGAGCCTGTGCCATTCAGGCTTTCTGCCTTCAGATTTTCTGTTTTCTCGTTTCTGGCGGAAGCTTTGTTGGGTGTGCTTTGCTAGTTGGCTGGGTGCCGCTGCCCGCTGCCCTCCCAGAGAAGGTGGTAGGAGAGGTGGCAGACTTTAGTCTAACATTGAGGTAGCCAGACAACCTTACTGTGTGTCCACGGCAGTAGTAGGATATCCATTTGTCGAGTTTAACACCCAGGCCTATGATTCAGAATTCCAGCGATTTTATTGTCAGTGGAAATGTTGAGATAACATGTCAAAGCAAAACAAGAAAACAAACACAAAGTCGTACACACAGTGGAACCTGCACTTAAAAAGGAATGTAAAGAAGAACTGGGAGAAAACAAGCCCTCTTAGAAGTGTTTGGCATCTTTGTGTTTTTCTATCCTGCCCAGATTTTCTGCATTGGTGTACCTGGTTTCATAATCTGAAAAAATAGAAGAAATAGTGGTTGCAGTATTGTTCCATTTGAAAGAGAAGTGAGGGGAGATGCAGTGTGTACAGACAGGGAGGAACTGTTTACTGGAAACCCATCATGGATTTCAGTGTTTTTCTAAAAATGTGGGAATGGGGAGTGAAAAATTCTTGAAGGTGGGTCTTTTTCATGTCTATAAAGTGGAAGTTAAATAGCACAAATCAAAGGGCACAAATGTTGGTTGTGTCCCCTCATTTGCCAAGTACTCAGCAAACAGATCCACAACTAGGATAATGTTGGCACTGGGATGTAAGGCAGCCTGGTGTCTAAGCATCTATGCTCCGTTTACCATATCTGAGCAAAAGGAATCATGAGCCTTCCACCCTCTCACCTTTGCTTTGAAGGATGTTAAAGATTGGAAATGGTAATTTTGATATCCAATAATGGTTATTTTTTGGGGGGTCCAGTTACAGGGCTTGTGCTTGTCTGCTATAGGAAGTGAGGGATGTGTGTCTTCTTGTCTTGCTGAGGCTTCCTCATGCAGCTGCTCCGTGGGCATGGCCACACTTTGGGGGAGGCTCCAGAAAGGAAAATTCGGCTGCACAGCAGGGAGATGTGCGGTAGAGAGGACATGATGTGGGAAATGGTTGGGGAAGTGTAGACATCCTCTGTGCCCACAGCTCATGCCTGTGAGATGACCCCGCTTCTCCATTAAGGTCAGACTTTCCTGTGCTTGAGTCTCAAAGGTTTGTAATTTTGTTAAGGATCTTATTATCCAAATTCAGCCTTGTTTCAGGTTTACTGGATTAAGCATCTCGGACACCCTTTCAGTGTGCATACTTGGCTGTTGAAGGGTAGGTTTACTGCCAAGGTTTCTGCTTGCCTAATGCTCTTCCTCCTGTGCACACAGCTGCCTGGGGTATGACACGTGGGCACATCACACCTGCTCACTAACCATGAAGGAGACAGACCGGGAGGCGGTAGCAACAGCAGTCCAGAGAGTTGCTGGGATGCTCCAGCGCCCAGACCAGCTGGACAAAGTGGAGCAGTATCGCCGAAGAGAAGCTCGGAAGAAGGCCTCTGTGGAGGCCAGACTAAAGGTAGGAGGCCTCTGATATCATGTGCTGAGTTTCTGGTTTCTACTTGATGTTATGTGGTGATTTTGCTAAATTAGACTTTGTGACAAAGTGGGAGGAGATAGAGCTGCACTTTACCTTATTTAGCAGTTCCTTCCAACAATCTGTTACCAAATGTAGATTTACAGAGAAGACTGAGGATATTGAAAACACCACAGGAACCTTTTCAGTACTCTGAAAGAGTCAGTTTAACTTTTAAAAACAATACCTGCTTGTTATTTAAAGCTCTTCTGCAGAGTGCCACTGAAGAAAGTGCTGTTTCCATCATTTCAACACCTATGGTAGTGGGTTGACCATATGCTGGCATTCTGGTGGAGGAGAGCAAGGCAAGGTGTCTTTATGAAGGGCTATGATGGTGATATTCGCCTGTAGCCCAGCACCCTGGAGGCTAAAGCAGGAGGATTGCTTGAGCTTAGGTGTTTGAGGCCAGTCTGAGCAATGTGGGCGAGACCTCCATCTCAAAAATTAAAAAAGAACAAAAAAAGGCAAAGTGTAATTCAGCGGTAGAGCACTCTCCTAGCTGCACAAAGCCCTGGGTTTGAGCCCCAGCACCCGACAGACAGACCGACACACACATACACACGCATACACCATATGATTTCGAGGGCTTTTGACTTCACTGATATGAAGTCAAATGTTATTAACTACTTTTCAGTCCGATTATTTACATACAGGATGGCCAAAAATTGTATTTTTTCATTAATTTTTATAAGATAACAGGAAATATAAAAATGACGATTTTATCAAATTTATTCAATACAAGAATCAACTGGTTGAGATGACACCTGCCAAGCAGCACTTGGGATAGCCAGTCTGTAAGCAACTACATGACCCGGGTGATGCTTGGGATAAACTGTTAAGTGATTAAATTAGACACATTTGGTATAATTATAAGATGTTAAAACTACAACCGGCTATAGTTGACATACAGCAGAATACTTTTAGGCATATCAGAGACTGCCTTTGAGGAAAGTTGTTCTCAAATTGATGAGCAGTGAGTTCTTCCTGTTGAAAACCATGCAAATGCCCCCAGGGGACAGTAGACTTGCTGCAGTCGTAAGAGTGTTCACTTGGATTAACAAGGCATCTGCAGACTGCAGTTTTGTGCTAGTTTAAACAATTGTTTGGACCTACTGCATTTTTTTTTTTTTTTTTTTTTTGGTACCAGGGATCGAATACTGTTTTGTTTTTTTTTTGAGACAGGGTCTCACTATGTAGTTCAGGCTGGGCTTGAACTCACTATGTAGCCCAGGGTGGCCTCAAACTGAGCAGTCCTGCCTCAGCTTCCCTAGTATACCTGGCTCTGGCCTTAACTGCATTTTTAGCCTGAACTTTTATCTGTTGTAGAACTTGTGAGATTAATTAACAGTTGTCAGCGGTAGCAGTGAATTAGAAACCTCAAGTAGTAATTGTGGTGATAGTTAGATATTTCTTTTCTTTTTTTATTGGTAACAGGGATTGAGCTCGCAAGGCAGGTGCAGCACCACTGAGCTAAATCCCCGGACCAATAGTTAGATATTTCTGAACATAATATAGAGGAGGATAGCAGTTACTCCTGACATGGATCATGCTACCTGGTGTGCCCTTGCTTGCCATCTACTTGCTGCTGTTTTTCTGTGCACCTACCTGTAGTGGGCATTTCAGCTGGCTCAGGGAATTGATCTGAATCTCAAATGTACTGGTCAGCCACTGTCCTCCACCTGGGTCTGGTCAGCTAAATGGCAGGAGCCTCCATTCCCAAGCTGATGATGTCCTGACCGTTTCTCTGCCTAGATAAGGCCTGTTGGGAAACCGAGAGGTGCCAGGGGAGACAATGGGTGGTGCTCTTCTGAAGATGCCATTTAGGGTGGCCACCAGCCCCCTGCATGCCCACAGTGGTGTCCGGTATCACTAGGCTGTGAGGCTGGACAGGGAATGTTACAAGGTTTTTGTGTTGAAGCTTTTTTTAAAAAAATTATTATTAGTGCATGTTTGTAGCACGTAACGATCAGATTTATTATGGGGAGTTTGTGCATGTGCGTAACATATCTCAGTTCTTTTTTTGTCCCAGCCCCCTCCCATCCTTTCCTGCTCCCTCCAACTCTTACTCCCTCCTTGTTTGCAAAAGCTCTGTTTCCACTTTTTATTCATGTTTTTTTTAATTGATTTCCTTCCTTCCCTTTCCCCCCATCTTTTAGTCCCCTTTCCATTTGAAAAAAATCTCCCTACTTCCTATTATTGATCTTTTATTTTGCACTTTACAGTTTGAGTCCCACATAAGAGAAACCATGCAATGTTTAAACTGTGTATCTGATTTATTTCACTTAACATTATGGTCTCAAAGTGCATCCATTTACCTACAAACAACTCAAGTTTACCCTTGTTTATGGCAGGATAGTACTCCATTGTATACAAATACTGTATTTTCTTTATCCATTCATCTGTTGATGGGCATATAGGCTGTTTCTAAGATTTAGCTATTATAAATTGTGCTGCTATAAACATGGGTATGCATGTATTACTGTAATATGTCTTTAACTCTTTCAGGAAGATTCCTAGAAGGTGAGTAGCTGGGTAAAATGGAATTTCTAGTTTTACTGTTTTGAGGAATTTCCATACTGATCTCTGTAGTGTCTGTACTAATTTACATTCTCACCAACAATTTAAAATAGCTCCTTTTACCCTACAGCCTGTCCAGCATATGTTATTTTCTGATTTTTTGATGATGGCCAATTTTTCTGGGTTAAAGTGGTATCTCAGTGTTGTTTTAATTTGCATTTATCTAATGGCCAGGGATGTTGAATATTTTTTCATGTATTTATTGGCCATTTGTACTTCTGAGAAGTGTCTGTTCATTTGAGCTGCCCAGTTTTTGATTAGGTCTTTTATTTTGGCGAGTCTAATTTGTTTTGAGTTCTTTATATATTTAGATGTCAGTCCTCTGTCTGAGGAATAGCTGGAGCAATTTTTTTCCCATTCTATAGGTTGATGCTGCACTCTGCTAGTTTGTTTCCTTTGAGATGCAGAAACTTTTTAATTTAATATGATCCCATTTGTTGATTCTTGGTATTATTGTGCCACTGGGGTTCTGTTCAGGAAGTCCTTGCCTATGCCTATGTTTTCAAGAGTTTCTTCTGTTTTATGGTCCAGCAGATTGTTTCTGTTTTAACATTTAGATCTTTGATCCATTTTGATTTTAGTTTAGTACATAGTAAAATATATAGCTCTAGCATGTAGTCATCCAGTTTTCCCAGCACCATTTATTAAAGTGACTGGCTTTCTTCCAGCGTATGTTTTTGGCCTCTTTGTCAAAGATCAAATAGTTGAATGTGTCTGGGGCTGTTTCTACTTTCTCTGTTTTGTTTCATTGATCCTCATTTCTGTTTTTATTCCTGTACCTCTGTAATATTAACTCCATATCTGGGATTATGATGCCTCCTGCTTTGCTGTTGTTACCCATAATTGCTTTTACTATTCTGGATCTCTGGTTCCATATGAATTTTTGGATTGTTTTCTCTAGATCTGTGAGAAATGTTGATGGCATTTTGATTGAGACTGTATTAAACCTCTACAGTGTGTCCATTTTGACTATATCGGTTTTGCCTATCTAGGAACATGGGATACCTTTCTATTTTCTTTTCTTTTTTGGTAACGGGAATCAAACTTGGGACCTTGTGCTTGCAAGGCAGGTGCCAGGACCACTGAGCTAAATCCCCGGCCCTTCTTTCCATTTTCTAATGTCCTCTTCAATTTCCTTTCTTTCAGAATGATGTAATTTTTATTGTAGAGATCTTTCACTTCCTTCATTAGGTTAATTCCTATTTAATTTTTCTTGATGCTACTGTGAATGGTATTTTCCTAATTTCTTTCTCAGTGAGTTCATTATTAGTGTATAGAAATGCTACTGATTTTTATGTGTTGATTTTGTATGTTGCTACATTGCTGGATTTGGTTATTCTAGGAGTCTTTTAATGGAGTTTTTTGGTCTTGTGTAATGATACTTTTGACTTTCTCCTTTTCTGTACATATCCCTTTTATTTCTTTCTCTTACCTAATTACTCTAATGTTTTGAAGGCTATGTTAAGCAGGAGTGTTGATAGTCAACATCTTCTCTTGTTTCTTATTTTAGCAGGAAAGCTTTCAGTTGTTCCCCATTTAATGTAGGCAGTAGTTTTGTCATAAATGGCTTTCATCAGATTGAGATTTGGCTCTTCTATACCTATTTCTTCAGAGCTTTAATCATGAATAGATGTTGGATTTTGTCAAAGGCTTTTTCTGCATTTATTGAGACGATCATGTGATTTTTGTCCTTGCTTCTATTTATTTGATGAATTACATTTATTGATTTGTGCATGTTGAACCATCCTTTACATCCCTGGGATAAAGCCTACGTGATCATGGTGTATGATCTTTTTGTTGCATTCTGTTTGCCAGTATCTTGTTGAGGATTTTTGTATCTATGTACATTAGTGTTTGGTCTGGAGTTCTCTTTTTTGGATCCTTATCTGGTTTGGAATCAGGGTAATGCTAGCTTCCAGGAATGACTTTGGGAGTATTTCTTCTCTTTTAGTTTCATGAGAATTTGAGGAGTATTGACATTTCATCTTCCCTGAAGTTCTTGTAGAATTTGTCAGTGAATCCTCAGGTTATGGGCTTTTCTTGTTTTTTTTGGTGGAGGGGTTAGTACCAGTTTTATTTGTAACTAACCATGTACAAATCACTTTTTAAAAAAAATTGCTGCTTCAATTTCATTTCCTGTTAGTGGATTATTCTGGATTTTTAAGTCTTTTTGGTTCAGTTTTGGTAATTCATACATATCTAGACATCTCTCCATTTCTTCTGAGTTCTCCAGTTTATTGATGTATCAGTTTGTGAAGTAGTTGGTAATGATATTCTAGATTTTGGGAGTGTCTGTCGTGATTGCACCTTTTTCATTTCTAGTTGAATTGATTTGTGTCTTTACTTTTTCTGGTAAGGTTGGCTAA